CGCAGGCTCAGCGGCCATGGCTCACGGGCCCAGCCGCTCCGCGGCAAGTGGGATCTTCCCGGACCGGGGCACGAACCCGTGTCCCCCGCATCGGCAGGCGGACCCTCAACCACTGTGCCACCAGGGAAGCCCCCGTTAATCCTTTAACTATTTCTCATAGAGCTAAGAATTTAAGAGTCTCTGATGCTCCATGACTCTCCAGAATTATGGTGCATAGAAATAATGAGAGCAAACATTTATTGAGCTCTTACTCTGTGCCAGATACTTTAATAAGTACTTTGCATGTATTAATTCATTGAATTTTCACAACAGCCCTATAAAGCAAGCTTATTATTACCTTCATTTTAAAAATGAGGAAACTAAGCCACCAAGAGGATAAATAACTTTCCTAAGGTGACCCAGCTCACAGGTGGCACAACTGGTTTTTCAACTGAAACAGTTTTGTTCCAGACAATATAGTCTTAATCCCAATGCTGTTCTATGCCTCAGGGTCCCAAATCTAGGTTATAATTGATAGTCTGGAGCTCCTAACTCTAAAATAGCATAAGTTCAGTGGAACACTCGTGCCTGCAAAATGGTAATAGGTCTTTCTTGAACAAGGTTCCATGACCAAAAATTTTGGGAAATTCTGAGTAAGATAGCATTGAATAGGTTTCCACTCTGCAGGGCTTTCCATGGTCTTTAATATTTTCACAGGCATGATGGCTCGCCAAAATCTAGATGCAGAATTTTCCAGCCATATTCACCCTTGTAACTCTCTAGTAAAACATCTACTAACTTGTGGCATTCAATAGAATATTGCTTAGAAAACACTGCCCAAAAATGTAGTTTAGATTTTTCCTGTTTCTTTTTCTTTCTTTTTTTTGCCATTTATTACCTTTGATTTCATTTTATATGGTCTAGAAGTTTAGTGTCAACTACACAGTTTAAAGGGTTTGTCTGTAATTTTATCTAACACTTACTTCTCCATCTCATTCAGATACCATGAAAGACATGAAATACACAAATACACTGTGGCCACCATAATCCCTTGGTTCTACTAAGCTACTCTGCTTTTCTTTAATGGCACTCTTGGTCATTGCCATTTGCTATAAATGTTCACAAAATATACTAAGTAATTCATTCTAAGTTTGGGTTTTTTTTTTTTTTTTACTTTTCTGGGAAAAAATTTTTTAAATCAAGGCTTTTGACTGTCTCTAGTCATCTTTCTCCTCTTCACATGTTCTCAAAGATTTCTGATAGGTTTCACAGAACACATGTGAAAAGAGTAAAGGAATAGATATCGTATGAGCATCATCTATGGGCTCAGTCATGCCATGCATTTCACATAGCACATAAAATCTCATGGCCCCAGGGAGGTATGGATCATTAGCCCTGCTTCATAGATGAGTAAACAAAGGCGCACATGTTAAACAACCTGTCAAGGTCAATGAACTCTGGGATTCAACCATCCCACATACAGTCCATGCTCCTTGGGTGCATTCATCCTCGTACTTTAGTTATTTGTGGCTTATTTATTAGGTTGAAAACATCTTGTTAATTTACTATTATTTAATTTATTAACCCTGACTAAGGCCTGACTTCTTAAGAGGAAAATGCTGATGAACCGTAAACACACAGACTAGAATGTGACATTCCTATATTTTACGGATATATTCTTTCTTACAACCAGCTTGTCATTCAGACGGCACTCTGTCTCTCTTTTCTACACTCATTTCTTGCTCTCATTCAGGCAGACATTTTCTTCCTCCTTTTGGATATCCAAGTTTAATTTCTTTAAAATAGACTATTTTTTAGATCAATTTTATATTTACAGAAAAAATTGAGAGGATAGTACAGAGAATTCCCATATACTCTGTATCTGTTTTCCCCTAATATTAATGTCTTGTATTAGTATGGAACAAGTGTTACAATTAATGAACCAATGTTGATACCTTATCACAAACTAAAGACCACACTTTATTTGAATTTCTTCAGTTTATATCTCATGCCCTTTTTCTGCTGTACAGTCCCACTCAGGACACTACATTATGTTTAGCTGTCATATCCCTTTAGGTTCCTTTTCACTGTGACAACTTCTCAGACACTTCTTGTTTTTGATGACCTTGACAGTTTTGAAGAGTACTGGTCAAGTATTTTGTATTCTGTCCCTTAACTGGAGTTTGCCTGATGTTTTCTTCATGGTTAGACTGGGGTTATGGGTTTGGGGGAGGAAGGCCACAGAGGTAAAGGGCCATTTCATCAAGTCACTCTCCATGGCCCAGACCTAAGGAGTGGGAAGTTATGCTTTCCTTCTCTGACTCCAGAGGATCTACTTAAATTATTTGGCATTCCTCTGCCTGGGAGATTTGTCTCTTCTCCATCTATTTATGTATGCAGTCGCCAGGTAGAATTTAATTAAAGTACTAGGGGTAAAAAATTACTTGCTTCAGAAATATTCCTTCTTAAAATCCAGGGCAAAAGTGTTGTTTTTTGTTTGTTTGGTTTTAAAAACCTTCTTTTTAAAATTAATTTATTTAATTTTGGCTGCATTGGGTCTTTATTGCTGCACACAGGCTTTCTCTAGTTGCGGCGAGCGGGGGCTACTCTTCGTTGCGGTGCGCGGGCTCCTCATTGCGGTGGCTTCTCTTGCTGCAGAGCACGGGCTCTAGGTGTGCAGGCTTCAGTAGTTGTGGCTCGTGGGCTCTAGAGCGCAGCCTTCAGTAGTTGTGGCTCGTGGGCTCTAGAGCGCAGCCTCAGCAGTTGTGGCACATGGGTTCAGTTGCTCCGCGGTATGTGGGATCTTCCCGGACCAGGGCTCGAACCCATGTCCCCTGCATTGGCGGGCAGATTCTTAACCACTGCGCCACCATGGAAGCCCCCGAAAGTGTTTTTGAAAAGTCTAATTTCCTTTGCTCATATTTAAATTAAATTTCACTCTTAATTGAACATTTAATATGTATATTGAAACTGAGTCTGCCAGCAATCCCACTACTGGGCATATACCCTGAGAAAACCATAATTCAAAAAGAGTCATGTACCACGATGTTCATTTCAGCACTATTTACAATAGTCAGGACATGGAAGCAACATAAGTGTCCATCAACAGATGAATGGATAAAGAAGATGTGGCACATATATGCAATGGAATGTTACTCAGCCATAAAAGGAAACAAAATTGAGTTATTTATAGTGAGGTGGATGGACCTAGAGTCTGTCATACAGAGTGAAGTAAGTCAGAAAGAGAAAAACAAATACCGTATGCTAACACATATATATGGAATCTAAAAAAATAAAAATAAAAAAAAAGGTTCTGATGAACCTAGGGGCAGGACAGGAATAAAGATGCAGACGTAGAGAATGGACTTGAGGACACGGGGAGGGGGAAGGGTAAGCTGGGATGAAGTGAGAGAGTGGCATGGACATATATACACTACCAAATGTAAAATAGATAGCTAGTGGGAAGCAGCCGCATGGCACAGAGAGATCAGCTCAGTGCTTTGCGACTACCTGGTGGGGGGGATAAGGAGGGTGGGAGGGAGGCTCAAGAGGGAGGGGATATGGGGATATACGTATGCATATATCTGATTCACTTCGTTATACAGCAGAAACTAACACAACACTGTAAAGCAATTATACTCTAATAAAGATGTTAAAAGAAAAACAAAAACAAAAAAAACACTGAGTCTGACACAAAGATGACTCACACAAGGCTCCTTGCCTGAAGAGACTATCCTGGGGTCAAACAGAAATGTATACATTTCACAAGGCAAATAAGTGCTGCAGTTAAAAGTCAGAGAGTGCTTCGGGAACACTGAGAGGATAGCGCAGGTGTCCTTCTGTATCCATGCAGAAACAGTTCCAGGACCCCGTGGGTACCAAAATCCTCGGATGCTCAAGACCCTTATAGAAGATGGTAATAGTGGTACAATGAATACAGTCTGCCCTCCCTACCAATGGGCTGCATACCTGCGGATTCAGCCAAACCCAGATGGAAATTTTGGTTGAATCCGAGGGATGTAGGACTCGCAAACATGAAGGCTTGACCTTAATTAATTCAAGGAAAATTTGATGAAAGAAGAGTGAGTCCAACACTGGCTTCCTGGTGTGCAGCCAGGGATTTTGAATGATCCTAGTTATGAAATGGAGAAGCCCTAGCTCAGAGAGAATGAAAGACTTAACTAAGTTCACACGGTTGGGTCATGTATGAGCCTAAGCTGAAAATCAAGTCTTCCAATTCCAGATCCTATGTCCTTTTCGCTACATCAAACTAGATGATAACACAGAGGTCGGCTATGCCATTATTCAAGGCGGAAATGAATAAAGCACTTACCTCAAATAAACGTAAGACTTTGGCCAGCGCACCGACTTCTTCTTTGAGTGAGAAGATCAGTGATATGGCACCATTTTGATTGGAGTTGTCTTCAATATAGCTTGTTTCCTACAGGATTAAATGCACTTGGGTAAAATGTTTTTCACAGCTCAGCAATTCATTCCTGTGAAACCTCCAAGGAAGAGGCGAGCACGAACTTTCTCTTCTGGTTAAGTCTTGGAACACAATGAGCTACATATATTCTATACAGAAGTATGTGTGTGGTGGAAAATAAGTAAATCAAGGGAAGTAAAATGTTCAGTGGTGCTCTTAGATCAGATTTCAATTTTAGAAAGCTCTAATTATTCACAAATGTCACCAGTTACACTATCGATTCACTGCCTTTTTAATGAGCACCTACCAAGTGCTAGGTACAATTAGGGCTCTGAGAGAAACAAAGATGAATGAGAGGATGCCCCATTCATCAGAAGTTCAAATTCTGACTTAGTAGACACATACACAGCCAATGAGATAAATTAAAAAAGATCTTAGAGGTGGTATAATATGCACAATAATTGTCCCAGGGAAGCATTGAGAAATACAGGGTGGAAAATACTAAAAATAGAACACACACAGGCTTTTGAGTCCAAAGACATGGGTTGGAATCCTCTCTCTTCCATTTACCAACCAGAACACTTTGGGATAGCTTAGGCTTCTTAACTTCCTCATGTGTGAAAGCAGGCTAATCTGTAATCATGACAAGCCCTGTCAAAACAGTATTCAGATGATGAAAAAGATAAAATAGTTTAAATATAATATTAAGAGAAATATGTAAAAATGATGGAAATATTAAGAATACCCACGAATGATTGCTTGGCCTTTGGCAAAGATGTCATGGGAACATTAAACTTGTTCCCAGATGCTGGGATCTGAGACACCAATTGTTGAAAAAGAGTCACTAAGTACATAAGAGCACATATATAACTTATTGGAAGATGGATGCCTTAAAACAGCAAAGAATGTCAAGGATCTAGCAACTTTCTACATGCATGTGACAGCAAATTAAGGTGGGACTAGGGTTGCCATTCCAGAAAGGGTTTGCCAAAATCTTTTAAAATTTTAAAGTTAAGTGTTAAATTAAGTTTTACAATAATACATAGAGTTCCATGTGTGCTTTCAAATAAACAGCATATACCTAAAACTGGGGGGGAAAAAAAAAACCCATGCAGAACAATTACTCTGCTGTAAGCAAGTTAATGAAATTAGTGGAATGGCTGTTACATCATCTCCATGAGAAGGCTGTGCTGGGCAGGGTCTCAGTGACTTGGCATCATAAGCCCTGTATGAACACGGATGACCCTCAGGATGAAATTCTTTCAATTCAGATTTTCCCAGAACCTTGCGTGAAACAGAGGTGCAGGGGAAGAACCAAATTATCAGCAAGTGTGATTAGAGGAAGCCTTAAATGAATTGCAAAACTGAACTGTTATATATCATTATATGGACCATGATATTATCTTTCTAAAATTTTTTTAATCTACCATACATTAAAAGCCCGTATAATGTCCCAGATATTATAATAAGCACTTGATTTGGATTAACTCATTTAATTTTGATAACAATCTAGAAAGTAAGTTTTACTATTTTCCAAGTGCCCCTTTTATTGATGACAAAATGAAGGTTTAGAGAAGTTAAGTAACTTGTCCAGAGTTGCACGGTTAGCAGCGGAGCCCACGCCACTGGATCCCAGCATGCTGTCCATGAATCACAGCTTCCTGCAGGCTCTGCTCTACCTTCCGCCTCTAGTAAACTCTGCCACAGACACGCAGAGCAGTCTCTGATGTCAGTCTTCTTCCTAGGAAAGGACACTGAGCCCTCAGTTCTTTCCAGTTTCCTTGAAATGACAAAAGATTCCCATTTCTAGTTCACTTGGCAACATTCTCCTCTCCTGTTGGCCTCCAAGAAAGGGAGCATATTTCTGACACACCTCAATGGATGTCACCTATGACTGGGGCAATTCCGACGTGAACGCGCCGTGCTCAAAACTCTGTCATCCACCACTTTCCCACTCCTGTGTGTGTCCAGCCAATCACCGAGTCCAGTCTGACCTTCTCCAGAAATGATTCTTGGGGTCAGGTCCTTCTTTGGTTCCCACGGCCACCACAATAATCCAGCTCTTAGTGATCTGCAGTGATTGAGCCCTGCTAGCAGAATTTTGCTTGTGTCCTTATTCTACTCAGTATTCTTTAGGGGCTCCCCATGGCCAACAGGACACAAGACCTCTTTCCGATATTCAAAAGTCCCCTTAGTACCCCACCTCCTGAGCTTCCCTCCCCTCCAGAAAACTGGTTCCTCCTTGCCCTTTCAACTCCTCATTAGAGTAAATGCACTGCATCCCTCCCTCTCCCCCTTTCAAATACCATCGTCTTTCCTCAAAAGCCCTCTTGGGTCTCACTTCTCTCAGCAAACCTATGTACTCCTCAGCCAAGGCGAACAATCCCTCCTTGATCTGTTTGTTCCATTTGGCCTCTGATACCCACATGGGACTTGATAATTGACTCAAAGAGGTGGACTTGTCTTAAGAGTTCGTCTAGTTCCACACTCTCATTTTTCAGATGCAGAGACTATGGGCCACCTGAGATCATCACACAGGCAGTGGGTGGCAGATTAAGAACTCAGGCTCCTGCTGTGGAACACAGTATGGAGTTTCCTCAAAGAACTAAAAATAGAACTGCCATATGATCCAGCAATCCCACTCCTGGGCATATATCCAGACAAAACTCTAATTTGAAAAGATACATGCACGCCAATGTTCACAGCAGCACTATTCACAATAGCCAAGACATGGAAACAACCTAAATGTACATCAACAGATGAATGGATAAAGAAGATGTGGTACATATATGCAATGGAATATTACTCAGCCATTAAAAAGAATGAAATAATGCCATTTGCAGCAACATGGATGGGAGCTAGAGAGTGTCATATTAAGTGAAGAAATTCAGACAGAGAAAGAGAAATATCGTATGATATCGCTTATATGTGGAATCTAAAAAAAAAAAATGAACTTATTTCAGACTCACAGACTTAGAGAATGAACTTATGGTTGCCAGTGGGGGAAGGGTGAGGGGAAGGGATAGTTAGGGAGTTTGGGATTGACGTGTACACACTGCTGTATTTAAAGTGGATAACCAGCAAGGACCTACAGTATAGCACAGGGAACTCTGCTCAATACTCTGTAACAACCTAATTAGGAAAAGAATTTGAAAAAGAATAGATACTTGTATATGTATAACTGAATCACTTTGCTGTACACCTGAAACTAACACAACATTGTTAATCAACTATACTCCCATGTAAAATAAAAAGTGAAATAAAAAAGAAGTGTTATGATGGAGAAAAAAAAAAGAAGATGTGGTGTATATATACAATGGAATATTAGCAATAAAAAAAAGAATGAATAATGCCATTTGCCAACATGGATGGATCTAGAGATTATCACACTAAGTGAAGTAAGTCAGACAGAAAAAGACAAATACCATACGATATCACTTACATGTGGAATCTAAAATATGATATAAATGAACTTCCAAGAAATAGAAATAGACTCATAGACATAGAGAACAGACTTGTGGTTGCCAAGGGGGAGAGGGGGGTGGGGGAGGGATGGATTGAGAGTTTGGGATTGGCAGATGCAAACTATTATATATAGAATGGATAAACAATGTCTTACTGTGTAGCACAGGGAACTATATTCAGTATCCTGTAATAAACCATAATGGAAAAGAATATATATGTATATGTATGTGGCTGAGTCACTTTGCTCTGCAGCAG